GCCTGGCCGGCCCGCCCGCCGCGCGGCCTCCTCTGCCCTGCGACGACGGCGCCGAGCGCGGGCTCGGGCTCTCCTTCTCCCGCGCGGGCGGCGTGGCTGCGCCGGCCTCCGCCTGGTCGCCGGCCCTGGGCGAGGGCGAGCTGGGCTTCTGACGGGGAGAGAGGCAGAGAGGGCACGGGGGAAGGGGAGGGAAACGGGGGGACAGCGGGGACAGAGAAACGGAAGCAGAGATACAGAACACAGAGAAGATGGAGAACCCAGAGGAGAGAGAGAGGCAGAGTCAGAGGAGACGGAGAGGAGAGATTGGGGCAAGGCAGGGAAACAGACAAAACGGATTCGAGGAAGCCGAGAAAAAGAGCGGGGAGAGAGAGAACAGAGACCAAGAGAAGAGAGAGAGAGCGGGCGGGTGGGGGGAGAGAAGGAGAGGGGGCTTTCACCGGGCCCAGGCCGGGGTCTGCCAGTCCCGGAGCATCGCACACACGGTTCCCCGCGCCTGCCCTGCCTCTGCCTCTCCTGAGTGTCCACCTTCTGGCCTCAACAGTGCAGCTCATGCAAGGTTCTCAGCATGCAAAACACAAGAGGGACGGAGCGGTGGGGGGCGGGGGGCTGACAGGGAGGGGGCTCCAGGACGGGCACGGGGGCTGGCATTGCCCCCTCCCCGATGGGACGGACGATCCCAGCAGAGAGAAGAGAGAGGGCGGGCACCGGGAGGCCGGGCCAGTGCCAGCCCAGCAGACCAGGCTCCCCAGCGCTTGGGGGTGGGTGAGGGGATGGAGGGGGCACACGGCACACAGATGGGGGTAGGGGCGGGGCTGGACAACTGAACTCAAAACTGAACCGAAGAAAGGGAAGAAAAACAGAAATAAAAAACAAAATCCACAAATGTCATTAGATACCAAAATCAAAAACAATGTCTGAACTCCTGGGAACTGACATTTTTCTGGTAACATTTTTCTTTCTTTGTTTTCCGGCCCTGCAGAGACCTGTGGAGCTGTCAGTAGCACCTGACTGTCTTTCTGTTTCTCTCTTTTTTCTTTTTCTTTTTTTTTTTTAAGTTCTGATTTTTTTTTTTTAGTCCCTCTTGGTTAACGTCCACTTACCAATAAAGTGGCACTTCCTCCTTTAGTAGGTAAGATGTGTAAGAGAAGGGAAAAGTGTGGTAGCGTAAGTTCATCATTAGATTCACAAAAATGCAAGAGAGATAGAGAGAGAGAGAGAGAGAAAAACTCAACCACCCCATTCTAGGCCAAGAGGAGGCCACACTGCCTCTGGAGGAAGGACTGGCAGCGCCTGGCTCCTCCGGCCTGAGCAGGCACCTCCTGGTTGACCGCTGGATAGAGATGTCAAATGTTTTTCCAAAAGTGGAGTTAGGACACAAGGATCTGGATACAGAAAACCTGAAAGGGCACCTGGTATCTTCAGAAGAGCCCTGGCTGGGAACGAGGGTCCTAGAGCCTGCCACTACCTCACTGAGTGACCCTGGCCAAGTCACTTCCCCATTCTGGGCCTCAGTTTCCCCATCCACAAAATGAGAGGGTTGGGCTTTGTATCCAGATGTTCTTTCCAGAGCAAATATTCCAGGTTTCTCTGTACACCCCTGACCACCCTCTCCATCCTCCTCCCTGCACAGAACTAACCCTCCTCCTGTCCTTGGGTTTCCATCCATCTGATAACAGTTGATTGCGCTTGTCTGTTTATAAGCCTGTCCTTCACCCCCACTCCTACCCCAGTCACCAGTACCAGCTTGACTTTGGGCACCTCCAGGGCAGATCTGGTGTTGAATTCAGCCCTCTAACCTCAGTTCTTATTACAGAACTTAGCATCTAGTAGGGTCTCAATGCGGTTTGCTGAGGAAGGAAGACATGCACTTATAAGGGCCAGGGCCAAACCAGGGAGTCCTAGGACAGGGGCAGGGTCCTGGCCAAGTTCTTTAGGCAGGTTCTTGGGATGAGAGAACAAAACTAGCTGCCACCCCTCAGGGTAACTTGCTGCCAGGGACTGGAAGGCAAGTGGTTGGCATGGCCCTGGTGCTTCTGCAGGGGACAGGGTGTGCCAAGGCTTCTCTGTGCAAGCCTGGATCCAGCCTGGGCATGGAGGTAGAGCCAAGAAGCCAGTTCCATTGGTGGAAAGACACAGCCAGCTCGTGGCTGGTGGCTGAAGCAACCAATGAACATCAGCCATAGCAGGTGAGAGCAGCTGACCAGAGCCATATGGGCCATGAAGACCTCCTCTTGGGGGAGCCTGGGGCCTCTGTCTGGGGCAGAGGCAGGCATAGGTGGCCAGAGTAGATATTACTAGGTACCAAGGACCCCTCTGAGCACCCTGAACCTAGGCTAGGAGAGATGGAGTCTGGGTTGTTCAGCCATGGCCTCTCCGCGATGGCAGTTCTGTTCTCTCAATAGACATTACCAGGAGACACTGGCTCTCCAACACATACACCGTCCACCCCAGCCGGCACAGCTCCCAAGCCCCCAGCACTAGGATCTGTCATCCAGCATCCTTTTCCTTCCGGAGAAGGCAAATGAGAAAGAAGTCTCCAGGTTCTTCAGATTTCCAGTTTCTTTCCTATCCCCTGGGTTGTCAGAGTGTAAAGTGAACAGATACTAGGTGGGGGCATGGGGGCCCCCCGGCAGCCAATGCATACTAACCCACACCCAAGGAAACACTGGACCTTGCCTTTGCTTGCTGCTTTGGGGTGGGGGTGGGGCAGCAAGACAAGGGGGCATAATACTAAACTTGGGAATTAGGATCTGGATGTGAATTCTGCTCCAACAGGAATTAGGGCCAGGATGTGAATTCTCCAACCCAGACTCTGGATTTGAGCCACTACTTCTGACTCCAGGGAAGAGGCCAGCAGTGGGGAAAGAAGACCAAGGGCCACAATGTTCCTTCCCACAGGGCCCCCTCTACTTCCCACTTTGGACTGGGAGTGGGTGGGAGTGTTAGGCACAAAAGGGTGGATACCCACCCTCATCAGGTTGCTGTCCCCCACCCTGGGCCAGACCCTTTCTGCTGATCTGGACCCTTCCTGCCAGGCATGGCTTGAAGTCCAATCTCTTCTCGATTTTCCTCTCACCTCCTCCAAGCCAACAGGCTGCCATAGCCCAAGATGATAGTAATTGGACAAATGAGGCAAAGTGAACATGCTGGAATCAGCCCTGATGCAAGTTTGCTGTGAGGCCTTAAGGAAGTGACCTCACTCTAGGGCCTCAGTTTCCCTGTTGGTAAAATGGACATAACTGGGGGTCTTTGCTGAACAGAGTGGGCCTGTTAGGGGTTGAGAGGTTCTTTACAGAGTACAACTGACTGACTGTCCCCTCACAGACCAACAGGGTCAGAGCAGTGCTGGAAGGCCTGGGGCCCCATACCATGTCCCCCAAGTGCTAGGATGGCAGAGGATGGGAGGAGGGTGCTGCTGGGTAGGTGACAGCACCTTCCCTGCAGGAAGATTCCTAGGGCCAATCTCACCTTTACCCTCCCATCCCTCCAAAAGCCCTCATGCAAGGGTCGCCATGGTCCTGGCCAGGGGTTGAGCCTCATTCACAGCTTGGCTGGGTCTCATCTTCTCAGGAAAGATCAAAGCCCGGACACTATGGACTCTCATGGCTGGACAGAACTGTGGTGCCAAAGATCATCAAACATCTCTTCTGGAAGCCTGCACTGTGTAGCCCCTGTCCCTCTTGCCTGGAACTCTTTTCTCCTCTTCCCCTTCCGGTCCCTGACTCACAGCCTAGCTAATACCCTATCTCACCTCCTCTATAGTCAGCCCAAGGTCACCACCTCCAGGAAGCCTTTCCTGAGCCTCATCCTGAGTCAGATGCACTCCTCTATGATCCCGCGGACCCTTGCTTGTTCCTTCAGTATGGACTGCGCTGGGATGTGCCAGGGGCTACGGTAACAAGCAGAGCTCCCCATCCACAGTTCAGCTTGTCCCCTCATCATTCTAAGTGATCTCTGTCTTCCAGCTTGGCAGGTGGGGGCTGCAAACCCAGGTCTGCCTGCCTCTCCCCTGGCATGGACATGCAGACAGGGCCTGGCACAGAGAAGTGCTCAGCAAATACTTGCTTAGTGTATGTGTGAATGAATGAATGAATGAAGGAAGGAGACCTCCTTGCCTCTGAGCCTTGCTCCCAGGAGCCCCTCTGTTCCTTGATACCACCTGCTCCCCAACATCTTTTCTTTTTTTTAAAGCTTCTTGTTTTAATGAAACTTTATCTCAGGTTAAATTTATGTGATACGTAAACAACGCTTTGACTTAGTTAATTGGTAGAAAAAAAAGTACAATGATATTGGTTGATTATTGACTTCCTGTCTGACAGCTTTTCTTTTGCTTATGTAAGAAATTTTCCAGGGGAAAAGACAACGGGAAGAGAGTAGCAAGGAACAGTGTCCTTGCCTGATCCTGGTATTCTTAAAGGCAAGAATGAGTAAGCATCTGGGACAACTACCTGCTTTAACTTGGCATTTGAGGATTCTGTTTCTGGGTTCCTGGTCACATCAGATACTCCTTGAGGGTGAGGCCTCCAGGCCCCCCATCAGGGTGGGACAGTCTCCCCATCAGACCAGCAGTACTTTCTCCCTCAGTGAACAATTTCTTTATCTGCACTCCTAGCACCACTCAGGGTTGAGGAATGTTCTGAGTGGCTGAGCTTCTCAGGACCTACCCCTGGGATCTACATGGGGGGAGATGAGGCCTTCTCTTTTCAAAGCTGTGTATGGAGGCCCAGTGAGGCCTCACAAGGGTTGGGATGTCAAACTTCTGTAGCTGTCCAGGTGGGCTGAGGAGAGGGCTGGCTGCTGCTGTGCAGATGAGGCAGGAAACAGTTTAAAGGGCAGGAATGGAGGGCTGGGGTTCCTGAGGACCTACCTCTGACATGTGCCCTCAGTATGTCCTGGATGAGCACTGGGCTGGGAGTCATATGTCCCAGGACCTAGCCTGGTTCTGTCCTAACATCTTGGGTGTATTGTTGCCCCTACTGACTATCCCTTCTAGATCATTCTGAACATTCAGCTCACATTCAGAAGATGAAAGGATGCTGGGGAAGGAGGAGCCCCTGTCTGGACTGGGTAGCTGAAAGTTCCCTCCATCCCCCGAGTTGCCCCCCAGAGACTTTGCTCAGTAGGTCCTCTAAGTCCAGTTCCTGCTCC